CAATGCCTAGTATGTCAATATTTATGCGTTCCATTTCTTCCTTAACAATATCTAATTTTCCTACATTCATGGTTCTCACATTCCATGTCCCAATCACAAGTGTCTCCTTACAACTGTTCCTCTTCCTTTGTATTTCCATACTTGAAAACTCAACCTCCTTTGCCATTTCTGTTATGTAAATGTGTTCTGTTGTACAAACACTTTATGGGGTAGTATTAATAAATTTAGAATTTCCAAATATATCAGTTTGGTATAGTTATAAAACTGACATTAATTTTCTCCATCATCCAAAACTAGTTACTTTGCCTTAGAATTCTCTCCTCTACCTTCCTTTAGTCGTGTAAAGTATTTTAAACTGCCTCTTTCCTAGGTTAGCATTTACCTCTTTGAAACCGTTTTTCTCAGTCATATGTAAATTGTACTTTAAGCTTCCTGTTTACCAGGGAGGGAAAGTAATTTTTCCTGGATTAGCATTTATCTTTTCAAAATTGTTTTTCTCAGTCGTATGTTAACTACTTCATAAGTTTTCTGTTTATTAGTAACTATATGTATATTTTTCTTTTTAAATGTAAAAATCCTGTAACTTTTTAACTAACAAAAATTTAACTCAAGCATGAAAACCTAATGACCACTCCCAGACGGAGAGACAGTTTTTGAGAAGATGCTCTCTGCCCTTCCAGATCTGTAACAGTGCTTTGTATATTGCAATCCCTTTGTTTTTTTTGGCAATTGGCTAAGGAAAGAAACTCTTGCATTCAGTAACATTTTGGGGAGCACAAAGGGACATTCAAATTTACCTCATAAGTGAAAGCAACTTTAGTTTTACTTGTTGAATGATTATGAATTTCACTGATAGGAGGACCCCAAGAGCAGGTATCTTAAATGTCCAAAGATGCCAATGAGATCTGTTTGTTGTTCTGACCTTTGAGATATCGGTTCTTGGCATCCTCTATTGCCTTCATGAATCCATGCACTTTATCTGGTAACAGCATGCTTGGTAAAATTCCTGTTGGTTCTGGTCATCCCTGAGGACTGCACATGTGTGCCTGATAGCTGGAAATGAGCTGGTGTAAGTTGCTTATTCCAAACCTGGTAGAGAGTTGGTCAAACTCACTCATTCTTGAATCTGTGAGAATGGGCTGGTGTAAGTCACTCATTCCAAACCTGGGAGTGAGTTGATGAGAACCACTCATTCCAAACCTGGGAGTGAATGAAAGAGAGTGACTCATTCCAAATGTGGGAATGAGAGAGAAAATCTAGCTTTGCCTGTTGCACTAAGGTGCCTATTTCCTAATTATATACTTAAGTCTGTATCTGTTGCACAATGTGCCTGTGTTGGCTTCTGTCACACTTTAGATAGAAACCTGTAGCTTTGTTCTGTTCTTCATAATGCAGTTTTTCGTAAATGCTCCAAATCATTGACAATAAGAGAGATGAAAATCAAAATCACAATGAGGTACCATCTCACTCCAGTAACAGAGGCAAAGTTTAGCAGGGCAGTAAGTAATAGATGTTGGAGAGGATGTGGAGAGATAGGAACTCTTAAACATTGTTGGTGGGATTGTAAAATGGTACAACCACTCTGCAAGACAGTTTGGTGCTTCCTCAAAAAGCTGAACAAAGAAATTCCCTATGACTCAGTTATTCCACTACTTGGAATATACCCTGAGAAAATGAGAACTGAAGCACAAACTGAGATCTGTACACCAATGCTTATAGCAGCATTATTCACTATCACAAGAACATGGGAACTGTCCAAATGTCCAACCACAAATGAACAGGTTGGGAAATTGTGGAATACTATGCAGCATGCAGGAGCAATAACTTTGTAAATTATTACCTAACTTGGGAGTGACTGGAGAGCATTATGTGAGTTAACTAACTCAGTCCCATGAGGATAAATATCATATAAATCTGTTATTGTAGAATGAGTATAGGGATCCAGGAGAGGTCGGAGAGGCTGGAAGCAGAGGGATGAGGATGTGAAGGGGGAAGGGGTGATTAATCATTGTGTTGTGCAGTTTGATGGGGG